GAAGCAAACAGACAGCTAACAGGCACCACCGTACTAAAGGACCTCTCAAACGAGACAGTCCCAGCCACAAACCCAGACCAAACTCAGGAACATCATTCAGACGTCTTACCAAGAAAATAAATACAGATCAAAGTCAAAACGAAAGACTATCTATTTGGACCGGACAATCCCACCGACGCGTTACTTTTATTACTACCGTAAAATCACAAAGACCAACCACAAAACCTGGGACTATTCCCTCTGAAGGTTCTCCCGGCAGAACCCATAGTCTCTGCATTGCAATAGCTCCACATATCATATCTCCTCAGGTATATGGAGCAGTTTTTATGTCCCTTTCCACCCGCACCCCAGCTACCATGAAGGACACTTACCACTTCATCGACACCTATAAGACCCATGGCTGTCCCGTCCTCATCACTCCTCTTCACCATTGAACATCAATACCTTTTTTACACCATATCAATACAAACACTCACCTAGGTCTACAACACTTCGCATCCATTTTAACAGAAACCCAGACCTCCTCTCGCCTGACACAGACTCATCCATACTAATAGAATCTCTGTCTGAAAAACAATGACTTTCTTTTCCAAATAACCAATTCTACTTACAGTCCACGGGACACCATGGGTCAGAGATTGCGCCACCTGCCCTATGCAAACCCTTTACAATGAGAAGAGTGGGAGCGAGAAGCCTTAGCTAAATGCCCCCTACAACCAATCCTCTACCTCAGGTTTTTAGATGACATCTTCGGTACTGGCCCATGAACAGTCCAAATTTTCCAGAATTCATCTTCCCATTCTCAAATAGCCACCATTCGCTTCTATATCACCGTAAAGTACACAATAGAATACATCATATCATCAATTCCTAACACTCACCGTTTTTTTCGGGCCCGCCACAACACTAACCTACAAAAACCACTGCAGACTAAAGTTTACTTCAAACCCACGGAACTCATTCATTACTCCATAAATCCACAGTTACACCCAAAACATACTATTTAAGGAATTATATCAAGTCACAAATCATCGTTTTTATCGTATTTGCAGCAACATCCCAGGGATTTCCCAAACACGCACCAGTACTTTTAAGCAGCCTACGCCCTAGAGCGCTATTCCAACGGCTTCCTCCTCCGTTCCATTTAATAATCTCACACTGGCATCTCTCTGCTTCCAACTCGCTCTCCTTCTCTCGTCCAGCCCGACCTAGCCCCTTACCCATTTTTTTTTTTTTTCACCCCATGGTCGGTGAGCTTGGGCCGTCGGTGAAGTTCCTCTCCTACCCGAATCAGGGTCTGTTCCCGTTCCTAGCCGTCACATCCACCTCCACCCTTCCTCCACTCTGATCCAATCTCTCCCCCACCTAAACCTAACCCACACGCCACCTCTATACCCTAAACGCCCAATCTCAACCCATTCCCCACCTACCTCACCCTTAACCCACCTGTCCCCCGCCCTAACCCCACCTAACCTCTACCCGTGCGCTAAACATTCCGTAACTAACCCCTACCCCTCACCCCCTACTGTATCTCCTATCCCTCTATCCGAACAGATCTGTATCCTCCCATACCTGCCAACCCGAAGGACAGGCACGGCCCAAGCTCACCTACACACACAATTTCACTACACACCACAACTCTCTCACCCTAGGTCTGACACAAACTTTGTCTCAAGGACTTACTCTCACCAAATCACCCACTTACACGCGCATCATCAAACAAAACTTTCGATACCACAAGTCCCCAACACCCAGCTTTTCAGAACCATAGATCAATGACTCAGGCTACGGAAACATAAGAGCCTCCAATCCATTCCATCAGATCCCAATTCCACTGACCATAGACCCACAGACCCCTCTTCCGATACAGCCACCACTATCAAGAACAGGAAATTTATACCACAATCCACATATAATACAGCATTTCCACTCTGGGTTCTTCTCCATCACAACCACAAATAGAGTATACATCATGTACCAATGCACACTCTGCAATAACATTATCATAGCGCGAATCAGAACACTCCACCCACACCGTTTAGCACAACACCTCTACAACATTGGGGAAAGGTCAACTCTACCCCCCTTGTACAAACATTTCCGAGCTTCATCCCCCCACCCACCTCATTATCAACGTTCTGGAAACAAACGGACCGCTGGACCTGTGGGCAGGAGGAAAGAGAGCGGAGAAAATTTGGAGACTCCACAGGCCTCGGGACCACTGTGCCCGGAGGTTTAAACGATAATTGAAAAAACAGGAAAATACCACTATCCAACCACCTCTGGGAGTTATGTCGTACTACCGAGCCTGTTTCCTGCCACTTTTCTTGGGCCATGCGGAGTCCCATACCAACACAGCTGGTTAAGATTATACAGGAATGGTTAAAGCCCTTGGTCTGCCACCTACCGGCCAGACTTGGCGGGTTCGAAATCCAGGGCTAGGAACGGGTCAGACTGGCACAGATTTTTATTTTTTAAAATTAAACCCCCAAATTTTTAACCACTTAATGTTTGGAATTTTAGCATAGGACAGCGAACACCCCCCCCTCCCCATATATTTCTTTTACTATGATTTACTATTTCTATGCATGCCTTATTTTTACTAATATTTATTGTAAGACTTTGTTTTTACTCCGTATAGCACTTGTATTTCCTAGGCACTCTACCCTCCTGCCTATTTCTTAATTCTTTTAATGACTAATACTTTTATAAATCTTAATCTTTCACCTACACCTTAGATCTTTTAGTTCCACTTACTGACTATTTATATAACTCATTTTAATTTATACAAATATTTATGTTATAATAAAAATTTTTTTTTTTTTTTTTTTTTTTTTTTTTTTTTTTTTTTTTTTTTTTTTTTTTTTTTTTTTTTTTTTGCATCTCCCTATGGTGATCCGCATGGTCATAATCGGGTCGGTTCCCAGCCCCCCCAGAAAAAATTTTTTTATATTTTTTCATAGATATATTTATTGTGGTTTAATTATTTTATTTGCTCTATTTATTATCCTTTTAACTTCACATTTACCTTTTTATTGCTTTTATTTATTTGCTGGGCCCGCTACCCTTTGTTAAATTTACTTGCAGCAGGTCCCTCTCTTCGCTCTGCCCGGTGCTCTGCCTGGGAATCGAACCCTGATCCCCGGTGGGAAGGACCACTGCTCTCTCCATTTCACCACCCATCCTGTCTGATCAGTAGGCCAGTGCACACTATTTTACTTCAAACCCATAACCTCAACCCAAACCCCAACCCTAACCC